CTATCCGCCAACCAAAACAATACTTCCCACCACTATGAAAGACAAGCTGATGACCCACAACTGGGAACAGAGCATTTGTACAGAGTGTACACTGCTCTCCTTACGATCAGGACAGGAATGCTCACATTACCTTTAATCCAGGTGACCCTGTAGCAATAGTAGTGAAGAAATTATAACCACGAGATCAGCAGTGCCTGGAAAGCCCAGAAGGTAGAGATCCCACTGGCCTCATAAAGCTCACATTAAATCTAATGCAAGTACATTTAACACATAATAAAAGGAGTAAAGTTTGCATTACTTTTTTTCACTGTTTATTTGTGGGTGGTCATATGCAAGGCCAGGAGTTGGACTTTGATGGTTCGTGTGGGTCCCTTCCAACTCAAGATATTCTGTGAGCGAACAGCACAAGACACTACAGAGAAATACCTAGCAGCAGATGCTGGCACATGCAAAGTGATGGAAAGTCAGAAAAAAATACTCAAGTGTCAAACTTAAAAGCTAAAATTAACAAAACCTGATTCAAAGGGGTTTCAGCAAACACCTGAATAATGAAAAATTTACCACATTTTACGGCCATTAGAACATCTCCAGCTCTTCAGCCTTCTTCTGTCCTAGTTTCTACTAATGTTTTTCACCTAATCGGCACCTCTTGACAGAAACAATGCTGTAATAAGCATTGTTTGCCTAATTAGAAAGGTGCAGTGCCCCTGAGTTGTGTATTTTACTTCCCAGGTGCAGATAATTTTGGTTACAGAGACATCATGATCTCCCACAGCTCGCTTGATGGGCAATGTCACAAAGCTTTGGTGTCTTGATCCTTTGCCATCACCCAGGCATAAAAGATTCAGGAAACAAAGCTACACATTTTTTATCTATGCATTTGTCTTCAAGCGTAGCACACTGGGCCTGGTGCCACCTCAGAGAAAATCGGCAGGAGGTCTGAGAGTGACCATAAAAAAGAGGGATCGGCACAAATGTGAGACCCGAAAAGTAAAGATCTTTAATTAGCAAAATAACAAATGCAGAATCTGAAGAGCATTTGGGGATGCACACAAAAGGCTGGAATCCAGGGTGGAACAGTAATTTATATAAGATAGGTTGAGGGTGGAGTTTGAGGGGAAGGAACCAGTAAGAACTGGAGATTAGGGATATGCAAATTAATACAGCAAAATTTAACCACTAACAAAGAGACCATAGAACTTTCTAGCATGATTAACATATAACTACTCTGGGGGTCTTATGGGTGAGCTTTTGCTCACCCCAACTAAAGGAGATCCTTCTTCTCGGGGCCCGGGGCAAAGCCCCTCATCAACCTCTTGCCCAGACGGACTCCAACATCCAAGTATTTGCAAACTAGTAGAAAATTAGAATAGTACAGATAAGAGACCATTTTAATGAGGGAATGACAGCATTTTCCAGATTAAAGGGAAACACCAGAACATCATTATTTCTTGTTACTTCAAGATAGATAGGACTTATTTTTGGTTGCTATGTAAGAAAAAAGTTTACTCTTGGAAGTGCTGATTTCTAAAGTTACCTTATCATGAGCTTCCCTAAGGCTAACTGGTATTTAAGATGTAGTCGTTTGTGTGTGTACAACTTTTAGATAGCCTAGACATAATATTGCCTAAAATAATTATATTCTCTATTCAAATCCTAAAGTACTTATAGTTTTTATCTGCAATATTATATTTCTATAGGAAATCCTTCCTATAACTAATGAACGCTCCAATATTGAGATAAAAATTCTTGCTTCTAATATAGCAAATCCTAAAACAGCAATACTTTATAATGTCACCATCAAGTACAAAGAAGACTGTTCTATGTATAGAACCTGCAAGGTCATTTCACATCATAACTGGTTATCAAATTAGCATCAGTATTTAACTACCAAGTGCTGATTTTAATTGGGGAGTTAGTTAATCATCTGGCAGTGTTTAAACAAGCTGCCAGGCTCATAAAGAATGAGCTCTCCAAGAGTTAAAAAAACATAAATAAATAAAATTTCAGTAACTTATTCGATATTTGCTGATGTTAAAACTTTATTTTATACAGTCTAACAATTATTTAAGTTTAAAAGAGTACAACTTAGGCTGGTAATAATATATAAAGCTTTAAGGAAATCTCATTAATGTTTCTGCAACGTGAGGCATCACTAAGACTGAGAATTTTGAAAACTGTGAAAAACATCAGAGTTCTAGATGCAGATTCTTTGTATTAAGTTCAGTTATTCAGAATCATAGCAGAATTCTATCTTCCCATGTATCCCTTTGCAGGCTGTCATGTTAGGTTAAATCCACCACTTTATCCCAAGACTAATCTTGGAGAGAAACTCTATATATAGAAAAACTTATTTTATTAGAAGAGTGGTGTGCTATTTCAAAATCTGACAGTAATCGTGTTTGCAGTAGACTGACACTTAATTCCAGCATTGCTGGTGCTGCATGGCCTTGTGAAGAGGGAATAGAGATGCAAGAATAAAGGCAATGATGCTCTGACTCTTGCATAACTTTTTTGCTAGGCAGAATAGTTTACACAGGTATATTTATTGCCTTGCACAGCAAGCTCTCTTTGTGACCAAGAGAAGAAAAAGTCTTTGTGTTCAAATGATCACAGACCATCACATATAACTGATTCAGTTCAGACATGTAAAAGATGTCTAGCCTCAGCCAGTCATGAAGGATTTCTCTGCATTTAATGGAGAATATCTTTAGCTCATGATTCATACTGAACTAAAACTGAAATCTGAGGTGGGATGAATCACCCGTACTAGATGTCCATCTTTTCCTCTCCAACTACTGTTTTAGAGAGGATGCTCACCTTTTAGGTGACTCATTATGAAATCCAGCCCAGAAGATTAGGAGATGGCAACATGATCATGAAGCAAAAGAAAAAAAAAAGATGTGGCCAAACAAAAGCTAGGAGTACCTCAGGAATACCTGGACCAGAAATCAAATTCAAGAGTCTGCACTCTTTCATACTCTCTGGAATACTTTTGCCTGATAGCCTCGTGGGTTGAATGTCTTTATTTCAGCCACAGAGTGAGGGGGCATAATGGGGTGGAGCCTGGATCCATGTGGACACAGCCAAGACACTGTGTTACCTGACAGCATCTTGTGTCATGGGCAGGAGGAAGGGGCTCTCCCACTGCCAAGAAGAAGCTGCATGGCTTGCAATTGATCATGTAGGGACTGTCCACCACTGTTTTTATATTGTCCCAGGCTTGGTGAGCATTTTCTGCATGTAAATCTCCCTCTCCTTGTATACTTTTGTTATAATATTGTTGCTATTACTGTTCCTTTTCTTATCTCTTTGCTGCTTCCAGTAAACTGTTCTTATCTCAACCCATAATCTCTGCATTTTGTCTCTCATGGGAGGGTGGGGGAGGAGCAGCTTGTGTCTTGGAGTGTCACTCCTAAACTATGACAATGGGGTAAGCATGAAGAATAAAAAAAAAGTGAGTGGGAAAAATATGCTCATTATTTTGAAAATATGACAGTATATTTACAAAAGGGACTGCAAAATCTTCCTACTGTGGTAGATAACTGGACATGCTTAATCAGGAGGTAAGACCTAATAATAATACGGTGTTTTAAAAAATGTCTAAAATTGTCTTTGTCCCTCATATACATTCTCTATTTCTCTGATTAGCAACAAACTATTAACAAATATACTTTGAAGGACTGTATTTCCATTTAAAAGCAGGTTTGCATGAGAAAACTAGTGTCTTCTCACTAAAGAATTACCAGTTTATTATACTTTTTCATATGAAGTATCACTTTGGTGGGAATATGTAAAAATTACTGTATTGTTTAGTACTATTTTTTCAATAAGGCCGTTAAAACTTTCTGCTGGGTTTCTGAACTCCCCATGGAAAACAGGAGTTTGAAGATAGAGTGGTAGAGATTAATGGTAGCTAAAAAATACTGGATTCTAAAGGATTCAGGGAATTACTAACAACTAAATTAAAATTCTGCAAGGAAACATCTGAGAAAATTATTTCCATGTTTTTTAATAAACATCTACCCTGTATTGTGCTGAATACATTAAAAAATTATATCCCAGATCAGTGCTAGAGGACATGTGACTATCAAATACAAACTGTGCAATATTAGAGCCACCTGTCTCTCTTATTCTGTCTCTCTCCAGCAATTCCTAGAAACCAAGAAAGATTTTACTTATACCAATTTATACGTGCATATCCACGTATTAAAAGCAAGTTCAAAGGAGCTGGAAAGCGGACTAATAATTATCAGAAGCCTCGTAATAACCTTGTTACAACTGGTAGATATTGTTACTAAGAATGATTTGGCATGAAGCAATTTTACAAAGGTCTTTAACATGTAACATACAAAAGGGGTTTTTTTGTTGGCGTACTACTCTGACACTTTGTAAGTGTATAAACAGAAAATGAAACAACCGTAGTTTGCATAAAGGAAGAACATTTTTTGTTTCACTTCTCTCTGTTAAATCTTGGGAAACCTATGATAAATATGTCCCAGAAAGCAGCTAACTACCTTTTCAAAATTCAAAAACCCTAAACCTATAATAATCCTAATCTGAACAGCTAATCACAACATGGAACTATTCTAATGTGTATCCAATTATAATCAGCACTATGATAATGGCACTGTCATTAATCTTCTGTGCTATTTCTCATTATTTCTAGAGACATTGCTAAAAGCAAATTCATGGAGCTATGCAATGGAGGTGGGAAGTTTCAGCCTTTGTATGGAATGAAATTTTCTATGGCATTCCTTATTTTCAGGAATTTCAAATTTTGGCAATAAATTTTCAACAAAAAAATCTTTGGCCTAATATCTGTCTGAGGTCTGTTTAAGTATGCAACAATTTTTCAGATATTCCATTCCACACTGAAATCAGATCAGAAAAGGCACAAAATATTTGCTATGCAATAGCTTTAAGAATTTCTTCTCTGGTCTCATCAGATAACTTGTCACTTCACACTCTGGAGCAGCAGCAAACTGAAATGTGTCAACAAAGCTGCTTTTTGTGGTCCCTGGGAAAAAAACCTACTTCCTCTGAAGAAAACACAAACTCTTCTGGAAGATTTCTCTCCTCAAACACACTGTGGAAATGGATTTGACAACCTGAATGTCCTCTCATTCAAAGCCACTGTGGTTAATCAGGACATTGGTAGGACCTGTAACAATAGAAGAAGGAGCGAAGGTTTTAAATTAAAGGAGAGTTGATTCAGACTAGATAGAAGAAAAAAAAAATTGACGATGATGTGGTGAAGAGTCAAACAGGTTACCCAGAGAAGTGGTGGATCTCCCATACCTGGGAACATTCAGGGTATCTACATCCCTACCCAACACATCCACCTTCATCCATAATCCTGGACCTCTCCTCAGGCCTGAAGAGAAGTTGGCTCAAAATGGTCATGATTTTCCCATTCCTCTTCCAGCAGGGGAGAGCCAAGGATAAAGATGCAAATGAATTTAAAATATTAAGGAGTTTTCAATAAGAACAACTGGTGATGGGTAAAGAATGTCACCACAGAAATGCAAGGCATCTTCTTGCAGCTTTCTGTCACAATGGTACTGGCTGCTTCCTCTTCTTGTGCCCTGTATCCAAGCTCTGCTGAGGAGAGGGGATGACTTCTGCTTGGCCTCCATGGCAGGTCAGGCTGGTAGCCTGGACACAGAAAGCACTAGAAGAGGCTGAAATAAACAGAATGATCCTGTAATAATGGCTGGTATGCTGTCTAAGGACAGAAAGCTTCCAGTGCCTTGTGGTCCCACAAAAATCAGTGAGGCATGTGCAACAAAAACAGCAGTGACAGCCTGGCTCTACACTGCATGACAGTCTTTCAGAAGACTTCTTTGAAGATTTAAATACAGTCAACTTGGCACTGATTCAGTGGGATTTTTTGAAATGCAAAAAGCAGGTTTCAGGATTGGAACATAATGCAATTATTTTGAAACTCAGTGCTGAAACAGTTAATATATTCTGCATTACAGTCTATTATTCAAAGAAAATAGGTGAGGGAAACAGTTGTTGACCTTCATTTATCAACATGAATTTAAATGGTTTTTAATTTGTTCTCCACACTACAACTGGCATTTGAGAGGAAAATATGTGTCAAGAATATCTACCTGAAACTCATTTTAAAAAAAACAGTATAAAGATGAGCTATTGAGAAAAAGAAAAATGCCAGGTCAAACTGATAGAAAAAGTCTGGATAAGGAGATTGCAATCACCTTAGAAGACAGAGAAAACAGTGGAAGGAAGGGAAGAGAATCAAGAATAAAATACTGTGGTTAAAAACATGTGAAATAATTTTATAGACAAATAGGGGCAGATGTGACATTGACAGTGTTACTGCTTGGAGAAATTTCAAGTCTGTGGGTTTGGTGGTTGGTTTTGCTTGGGTTTGGGTTTTTTTTTTAGAATTATTCTTATTATAACTATTAAGACTGGAATAATATATTAAGACAGTATCTCCTTACTTTTAAGATAAAATACCATCAACTAAATAAAACTAATTTCTGGTCTCATTCTTCATGGGATTTGGAACATTTGAATGAACCCATCAGTATGTTGGGACTAGCAGAGCAGACTTCCCGGGTAGCTGTTTTACTGCATGAATAAATGCAGATTTTAGCCTACACAATACAGCTGAATTGCAATTCTCTTACTTGTGATTAATTTCAAAGACTGTTTCACATCCCATAAATTCAAGAAGCAAGATATCAAACCAAGGGAAGGGTTGTTCCAAGACAAACTCTTAGGACAGAAACACACATCTGCAGTTCTGCTGCAATATACTAAAGTTTATGTATTTCAGTTCAGTATCAAAAACTGGCATATCAGTCCATTAGAAACTGCACACCAAGGGAATGCAATCCCATAAGAGCTGAGTGATACACCTGAAAATTACAAACATACTGATTTGGTAGATGAGCACACTTGTCTCTTAGTGGATACGAGTAAGTAAGGGCCTGTAATCTTGCAGTCGTTTTAAAAATAATTAAAAATGGCACAGAGATAAGTAAATGATTAAAAACATGCGTGTGGTACTTCTGCATAGCACTAGTTCTCATGGCTTTGCTTCTCTGGAACTGGAAGCCTCCTGTCCTCAGTTGTCCTCCTAGAAGCATTTCCTACCTCTTTAATCACAAATTAGACTGCAATCTAGGGAGTTTCTTTCTGATCTGCTTTCTGATCAGCATCTCCCAGGACCCCTGACCATACAGAGTGTTCCCAGTGGGTCACACAACAAACTCCATAAACACATGCTTCAGTGCACATACCTTCCTCAGGTGGTGATGGCAAATCATTTCTGGCTGAAAGCCAGCGTGGCATTGCAGCCTCGTGTCACTGCACCTCAAGTCCTTGATCAACCACAGATCTACTAGAATGGTTAAGAAATTCAAAATATTACTACTTTTGTAGCCTTTAAAAATTATATACTTATTTCAGATGTTTTGCTTATTTGTATTTTTCCTACTGCACAGTGTCTATACTGTAAGACATGGAAAAAGCTTTCATATCACACAGCTCATTAGAGGCTGAAACGAACCAGTTTTAGATGTATGATTTTGACCTCATTACTGTCCTCAATCAATGAAATAAAAATGGTGGCTGTCATAACATCATCTCTTGGACACATTACTGTGGGAATCAGCAATCAGAGTCTGCTCCTCAGATGGTAAAACTACTATTGAATATATCTGCTAGTACTAAGCTTGACTAAATAATAATAGAGAAAAAGGCTTCTTAGAATTCAATAGGCCAATCAAACTATCTCTAAGCAAACCAGAGGGAAAGATATATCCTACCTGCATCTTGTTATAAGCATGGTCCATTTGCAAAATGCTGTAGAAATAAAAAAGACTCTTACCTCACACAGTTCCTATGGCACTGCCTAAACCCATCTTAATATGCTTGTATGTGACACACTGCAAATGTCACAGCAAAACTCACCACTTGTATGAAGTCCAGCTCTGAGGGTGAAACATATACTTTAAGATCAGTGACAAATTTTAAAAATACTCCTTATCTTCAGAATGAGATTTTTCTCATTTTGACTTTTCCCCACACCCATGCCAGTCACACACCTAGCACAGGATGAGCCACACTGGAGATGCCCCTTTCACTCCACTGCCTACAGAAGGAGCTGAGATAACTGTAACTCACTTGAGGCTTAACCCTTAAAAATCCAACTGCCCTCAGCCCATTCAATACCAATTATGTGGATTATATATGGCTGCACTCAGTTTAAGGGAGTTTTCACTTACATGCACTAGGTAATTTTCAGAATGTTATACTTCTGAATGTATTACTGTATAAACAACCATTATCTGAATTTCTAAAAATATAGGGATGCTTTCAGTTTACTCAGCCTTTAGTTTGCACGTGTTTGTGGGTAGTAAGCTGGTCTATGGACAGCTTGCCTGTTACATGTACTGGACATAAAATACATGTTATTTTTGTGAGACCTGAGTGACCAATACTATACCAATACTTTTGTGAGACAAGAAAAAAGATGTTTTACCCCCCAAAAAATTACAGAACAAATTATCACTTGGAAAAATTTGCAGCAAGCATGCCAAGCCAAAAGTCTTCAAATTTTGAAATGTTCAAGTTAAGCTATTCTTATTTATTTATTTATTTGTAGTTGGCAAATTGACTTTGGCTGCTTTTTAATTCAGTTTCATTTTTACCATTAAAACAGTGATAATCTTTTTCCTGAAAACACAATGTGAGATGTCCAAAGTCATTTCATTTAACAATTCAACGCTGTTTTGTATATAATGTTATCTTGAGGTGAAACTATTCTTAGAAGTTCCTGTTTCCTGAATCATGCATCACTATGGGATGCAGGATTTTGATAGGTCTTTTATGATTAGACAAATATTCCTTCTTTCATTTTGACATACATATCATATTAAATTCTACAACCAAGGCTTCTTCTTGCAGCAGTATAAAACCAGAAAGTTGTACCTTCAATTTCTCTCATCGTGTACTCCCAGTTAGTTTAAAAACATTCCCTGCACACCTGTAGAGAAATGGAGCTTTGAACAGAGCCAGAGTGCAGGCAGAAGACTTCTTTATCTTCAACAACAGGGAGGGAAGAAACAGTGTTTTACCTTTCAGTAGTCCTCCTTTCCTTCATTTACTTTTCTTCCTCATAGATGCATGTAACAAAAATTCAGCCTTCATCCATGGAAGACAGCATGGAAAGATTTGGGCAGAAAAGGCTCTCCATAGCTGGATTACTCCTACCTACTCCTGGTCAGGTGAGAAGCTGCTTTCTGACAGGAGGTCATGTGTGATTAGGCATACAATAAAAGTAATTTACCTTAAAGTAATTTCTCCTGAGTATCCTCAACTATCTTATGATCTACAGCATTCAAATTGGGAGGGGATTTTTTTTTTTTTTTTAGCAAAAGATAAAGCTGACTTTTTTCAGGCTGTTTTTAGCCTGGTTTCCTATGGAAACAAGACTGAGCAACAATATAACACAGTCTGTGTGTCCTCTCCTTGTAATTTCTGAACTAAGTAGCCTGATTTCAACTAAATGTGACTGAGGAGATAGGAATCTCAAAGATAGTTACACTCTTATAAATTTTGAAAGCGGCAGCTGCTGGAGAGAAGAGAGACCAGGATCCTTGTATTAACATGCAGGGTGCTAACAATCTTATCAGCCCATTTCTGCTGTCAAGTGTGGCAGCCAGCATACCATCACCAGAATATATGCATATTCAGAGATAAAAGAAGACCTCTATAATTCAATTATTAACCAAGGGACATAACTCCACAAAAAAACCGGTCCTCTTCAATTTTGGTTTTTTTAGGCCTTTTCTCTTTTAACTAGACAGCCAAGATACCAGGCTGATGAGGGAGAAAAATTAAACAAAAAGGAGGAACAGTTTAAATGAAAAGCAAAAGCATACAAAACCCATACTGAAGCAAAAGAGAAGACTGAATAGGTGGAATAGAGAGTTTATCCGTTACTATATTATAAGGATGGACAGCTTTTAACATTATGTCCTACATTTAAATACATTTATAATTTTACCAGGTTCAGAAGTCCTACACATACACACACACAGAGAAAAAAAACAGATACAGGAAGGAGATTATGAGCATCACATTTAGCTGCAACTAACTAACATATTGAATGATTCAGTTCTTTTCATGCAGATAAAAATGACATAAGGCTGAAAATCATTTTCATTTCCTATATTCCACAGCCAAGGAAACACATAATGGTTAAAGAACTGGGACTCCCCCACCAAAACCATTTTTACAGCTCTTGAGTGACTAGTTTGAGATGGTCTAGCATAATTATCTATGCCATAATTTCTCCTTGCCTGTGTCAAAAATATTTAAAAAAACACCATCAAATACTCACTGATTCACTGGAAAATCCATGCATTGACTAGAGAAAGTGGTTTGAAAAGTTATTTGTTACACAAAGTAGCATAATTGTTCATTATATATCCAATGTTCTGTCAGTGTTTCCTATAAATAAGACTGTTCTGTTCCAAGATTTCACAACAAAAACACAATTTCTGAGCTTTCTGCCAAAAATTTTCAAAATCTAGAAAGTATTTCTCAGCTAGCAGCTCCTGAAATAGACTTAATGATGACTACCTAGTAATTATCAAGGGGGGGAAAAACTTAAAGAATAGGAAAAAAAATTACCTTCATTTTCTCTCATTTTTGCAGCCTTTTTTTTTTTTATATTTTTTTTTTTTTGTCAGATCTCTTTTCCCCTGCATCCCCTCTGCTCATGCTGGGAATCAGGTGTGTGCTGCCAGCAGGACTTGTTAATTCAAGGAGCTGCTGCTGTCCAATTAAGCTTGCTGCCAGATCACAGACAGCCAGACACTAAGGTACCTAATTCTCCTTCCTAGTTCAGCAGTAAATGCAACGCCATTAGCAGCATAGTCTAGGTATTAATTCACTCATTTGTAGGCACACTCTAAGGTTAATTCATGTCACTCCAAATAGAAAAAAAAACTAAAAGAAGTGAAGAAGGATATCAAGCACTTAAATTAGCTTCAGTAAAAAAACAGAGTTGCCTTTAGTCAAGAAAGTAATCCAGAAGACCTGAACTCGGATGGAAGTTTACACAAGCGATCTACTTTTACTATTTGAAAGTTCCTGGGTGCCTAAAATGTCCCTTTAGTACATCCACAGATATTTTCCAGGTTCAGGAATGCTGAGAAGCCAGCATTTACCTAAAATGAAACATAAAAATCAAGTTAATAATCTCCTGCCTACCTTACATGAAAAAGTGAATTCATTAGATATTTTTACGACACAGGGGATCATGATCAAGCACATCTGAAGCACAGTGTTAACCAATACTTTTAAAATGTAACACGAAGTGCTGGTCCCCTTTTTTTCAGTAGCTGAATGTAGCTGAGCCTATTTTCAATTTGTAGTCTGCAGGCATTATACAAGAAGAGACTGTCTTGGTGTAATCCAGAAAGGATAACTAAGAGCATCCCAATCATCAATAAGACTTAAGTTTGCTATAGATGGATACAGAGCTCAGCCAGAATAGCATTTAAAAAAAAAATAATTCAGAATCTTTATTCAGTGGATATACTCTGATCCAAGGATATACTCAGGATATTTTCAGACATAACAGTTCAGCTCCTTTCTTCGGCTACTGCAATTCAAGCCCATCTCCTACTACTCTGCAGGTTATGCAAAGCATCAGGCTATGTGACCCGGGTGAGAAATCAGGAATGGGACACACAGCTCCTTACACTGTACACTGTATTATGACAGAAGTAGATACTCGATCCAGGCTGATGGAGGATCCAATTAACCTCAGAGAACTGTGCTGAAGTAGCCCAAAAGTAGCCAGCAATTAGAAAAGGAGACCCACATATATCTTAAGTGCTATCTCTCTCTAGATCTCTACAGAGATATGAAAGCAACTTCCCTAAGATGAAGAAACTCCTTCTTTTAAAAATGTGCTTTGGATCACGTTTTTCCTTCAGGCAGCACTGGCAAAAATCCATCTGATGTTTTCAGGTCCCCTACATACACTTCTCTAATGGATTCACTGTTTCTTTGAGGTGGGAGAGCTGAAGCTTTATCTACAACATCTAATTTCCCTGGAAAGTGTCCTCACAAATGGGTTGTGCATTATTCTGGCTGGGAAAGAGATCCTTCCAGCCTTTGTTTAGTCAAGAGCAAGAAAGAAAAAAAGAGTATGATTCTGTAGCTTCAAGGGCAGAGCAGCTGTATGAGAGAGAACTATGCTCCAAGATCCTTCCACGATAACTGTTTATGAAATGTATTCAGTAACTGGTTAGCATGAGGAACTAGACACATCCTGAGGCAGGTTTAAGGCTCTCGACTCTGTGTTTGCCCCCCAGAAGCTCTGCTGTCTTGCACTCAGTTCTCACCCTTGCTATACTTTCTTGAGTACAAGATAAAGAGCTGCTGACAAAATTTCTAATCTTGACCTTTAAATATTAGTCAGTGGCTATGCTCAGCATCTAGTAGCCAAATCTTCCTTTTATTTGTGGGTGTTTCGGTTTCTTGGGTTTAATCCTTTGCATGATGCCAAAGGCAACTTTATTTCCAGCCTCCTTAAAAAAACCATCCAAAGAAACAGATGACATAACAACATTATAAAAGAGACAAAATTAGCAGTCATGAAAAGTACAGAAGGCTTGGAATAAAACATATATTTGCTGGGAATAAAAGCAGTGACACTGACAGTGGCACTTGAAAGAGAGATCTGCAGGCAGGGTTTTTACAGACACTGAGGCCTGTAGGATACTGGGATTAACTTGCTGCATACTCAATTTGACCTTACTCAGAAAGGCAGGATAGA